ATTCCCTGTCCACAGCTCCTGCAGAATTCCCTGGGCCACAGCTCCTGCACAATTCCCTGGGCCACAGCTCCTGCACAATTCCCTGTGCCACAGATCCTGCACAATTCCCTGTCCCACAGCTCCTGCACAATTCCCTGGCCACAGATCCTGCAGAATTCCCTGGGCCACAGCTTCTGCACAATTCCCTGTGCCACAGATCCTGCACAATTCCCTGTGCCACAGATCCTGCACAATTCCCTGTCCACAGCTCCTGCACAATTCCCTGTGCCACAGATCCTGCACAATTCCCTGTGCCACAGCTCCTGCACAATTCCCTGGGCCACAGCTCCTGCACAATTCCCTGGGCCACAGCTCCTGCACAATTCCCTGTCCACAGCTCCTGCACAATTCCCTGTCCACAGCTCCTGCACAATTCCCTGTGCCACAGATCCTGCACAATTCCCTGTCCACAGCTCCTGCACAGTTCCCTGTCCACAGCTCCTGCACAATTCCCTGGGCCACAGCTCCTGCACAATTCCCTGTCCACAGCTCCTGCACAATTCCCTGTCCACAGCTCCTGCACAATTCCCTGTGCCACAGATCCTGCACAATTCCCTGTCCACAGCTCCTGCACAATTCCCTGTCCACAGATCCTGCACAATTCCCTGGGCCACAGATCCTGCACAATTCCCTGGGCCACAGCTCCTGCACAATTCCCTGGGCCACAGATCCTGCAGAATTCCCTGGGCCACAGCTCCTGCACAATTCCCTGTGCCTCAGATCCTGCACAATTCCCTGGGCCAGGTCTGTGCCCACCCCTCTGCTGAGAGCAGGGTTCTTGCCCAGGATGGTCTCAAAAATACCCCAGGAAGCCCAAAAATGGGGGTGCATGGGTGAGAGGAGGGCAGTGGGGAAGGCACACAGGACGTGCAGGCCTCCAGCAGGAATTTCACCTTATTAAGTTCAAAGTTCTTAAATTCATAGATGTTTTCTTAAATTTAAGGTTCTTAAATTCAGAGCTCACCTGCTGAACTTTCCCCTCCTGTTTTCTGCTGCATTTTATACCTAATGCTTCCAGGTCTGTAAAAGAAAAGCTGTTAGTGTCCAGACTTGGTTTAAAATCCTATAAAAATGAGGTTATTATCACTATAATGTATCAAACCAGCAAACTTAGAGTGGTCTAGTACTCTTTGTAGTACTTTCTGTAGTATTATCTGTAGTAAGTACCACAGTGCTCACAAAATACTATTTTTAATATATTTTAATGATCACCTCATTTTCGCAGGATGTTAAAACAAACCTGGACAAAGTTTTTCTTACTATTTTGCATTTTTCCACCCTTATTTGTAAATCCTGTGTGCTCCTCATAGTAAATAGATGCTGGAGTACACCCAGCTTGCTACTTTAAGAAATTTAATTGTATTTTTCAAGTGCTTGCAGTGAAGTTGGGAGGAATGAGCAGGCCGAGCTTTCTCTGCCCAGTTTCTATTTTTGGGGTGTATTTATTGTTCCTGTGACTATGGCTGGGAAATCCTTCCCAGCTGGGAAAGAGTGTGGGAGCAGAGCCCAGGGATCGGGGAGTGGGAATGGGAATCATCTGGGATGAGTTGTGAGAGGGATGAGGGGGATGGAAGCTGATCCCAAAATCTGGGATGGGTCCTGCAGGGATGGATGGATCCCGCAGGGATGGGTCCCTCAGGGATGGATGGATCTGATCCTGCAGGGATGGATCTGATCCCACAGGGATGGATCAGATCCCGCAGGGATGGATGGATCAGATCCCGCAGGGATGGATGGATCAGATCCTGCAGGGATGGATCAGATCCCGCAGGGATGGATGGATCAGATCCTGCAGGGATGGATCAGATCCCGCAGGGATGGATGGGTCAGATCCCGCAGGGATGGATGGGTCAGATCCCGCAGGGATGGATGGATGGATCAGGTCCCGCAGGGATGGATGGATCAGATCCTGCAGGGATGGATGGATGGATCCCGCAGGGACGGATGGGTCATATCCCGCAGGGATGGATGGATGGATCAGGTCCCACAGGGATGGATGGATGGATCAGGTCCCGCAGGGATGGATGGATGGATCAGATCCTGCAGGGATGGATGGATGGATCCCGCAGGGATGGATGGATGGATCAGGTCCCGCAGGGTTGCTCCGCTCGGGGCATCCTCGGGCTCGCCGGCCGCGGCTCCGGCGCTGTTGAGTGAGGCGGTGCCTCCCTCTAACGGCAGCGGAGCCCGGCCGGGAAACGGGACCGGCGGCAGGAGATCCCGGGGAATAGCCCGGGAAATATCCCAGCAGGTATCCCGGGATAGCCCCGCTCCGGCCGGGAATGCTGCGGCCAGGGCTTGTGGCCATGGGACGGGGCTGGGCCCCTCGGGATTTGGGAGGGCTCCCCTCGGAGAGGGGCTCCAGGGAGGGGCTCCAGGGGGCATCTCCAGGAAAGTTCTCCAGGAAAGTTCTCCAGGGGGTTCTCCAGGGAATCTCTCCAGGAAAGTTCTCCAGGGAGGTTTTCCAAGGAGGATCTCCAGGGAGGGTCTCCAGGGAGCTCCCAAAGGATTTGAGGCAGGAGAATTCCCTGAGAACAGAGCCCCAAGGTTGGTGAAGTCCAGAGGTGACAGAGGCACAGTGAGTCCCACCTGTACTGCTGGATTTTCCTCCTTTTCCCAGTGCTTTGAGCAAAATCCAGCATCTCCCACAGCCAGGGAGGTTTTTGTGTCATCCACTGCAAATTACACAGGCAAAAACTTCATTTGCCTTTAATTTGTCAGCTTGTGCAGCTTGAGTAAAACTGGGATCAATTAAAAACCATGGGATGTGTGAAAACCCAGAGCTCTGTAAGGCAGCTGGATAAAAATATCACTTCCAATAACCCCAAATAAAATGGGATCAAAGGGGAAATATTTTCTGCTGTAGTTGTTTGTTTAGTCTGGGATCTGGGGGTGTTTCCTTCTTTTAATCCTCAACTCAAAAGAGCAAGAAAAAATAGCAGCTTTTTTCCATATTTCAAAGCTTTTTATGTAAAATGTGTTATATTTTAAAATTAAATTAACCCCTTAAATCTAATTAGTAAAATAGGAAGAAACAGATTCTGAGGAATATTTGAGGTTTTTTGTAATTTCTTTGATTCTGGAGTTAGACCTGCTTGAAAAAATCTCTTTAAGTTCATGTTCATGGTCAGGATTATGGATAAGCAATGAATCCATAAAAATTTACACTCAGAGATTATCCAAAAAATATTTAAAACATGTTTTTGTTTAATGGATCTTTCGCAAGATATTATTGGTCATTTAATGCTTCTATTTCGGTGATTTTAAAACTCTTAGTGGAATAAATTTTGTCTTTAAGGAAAAAATGAGAATATTTTAGGCAGGGCTCACAGGGAAGTTTTCCTTTCACCTGATTTGTAGAATCACGGAATTCCCTGTTTGTTTTCCTTTTATCTGATTCTCTGCTGTTTCTAATTATTGTGTGTGTAGTGTTTTGGGGTGGCATTGAGAGAATTCCAGCCCATTTTAGTTCTCAAGTGACATTCCAGCCCAATTCCATAGGAATTTACAGCTTTAAAGCTGGGTGTGTATATTTATACACGGGAGGAGAGCAATAGGTGGAAATGGAGAATTGTAAAATACTGAATTACCCCTGAAGGATGATGATGTTCCCAGGTAAAATGGGAAGGCTCCCCCTGCCAAGGTGACAGGGCTGGAAATTGTGCCTGCTGCTGGAATCACCTTTTTATTAAAAACCAGCCCTAATCCAAGATTTAGTCCCTTTAATTCCACCCTAACAGGGTGAAAAGACTCACGGTGCACTGAGTTAGTATTGATTTTTTTTTGTCTGAAGCCTGGGAGCTTTCTGACTCCATTATTTTTGATTTTCCTATGAAATACATATCCTTGCTCCTGACAGCTGACAAACAACAGCTGGAAGTCGTTTTATCTCCCCATAATGTGTTTGTCAAAACTCCCCTGCACTAATGGGCTCTGCTTCCTCCAGTCCATTTTCCCCTGTTAATGTCACTGATGTCATTGGCAGCTTTTAGTGATTTTTGCCCCTTCCCTAATTTGTCATTCCCATCATTTTGTGCAGGATCTGGGTGGGATCCTGGAGCTGCCTGGGATTTGGTGATGCTGGAGCTGAGCTGTGGATTTGAAATCTCCTTTTTCTGCCTGTCTATGCCAGGCTTTAATCAGAATCCTTTATTTACCCTCAGACCAGGTGTATCAAAACTTCAGTGAATTCTGATTCCCTCTCCTTTGATTTATCCCAAAAATCCTTGGCAATCTTTTTTCTGTTAAAGGAGAAGGTTTCAGCACCAAGGCAGCAGGACTTGCAAACACAGGTTTAAATGTAGCAAATTCTTGTTTTTCCTTCCAAATCCACCAAAACATCAGTCTTGAAGTTGTATTTATGGTCTTTGCTGTAGTGCAGCTCCTGTCAGCTTAGAATTATGGGATGGTTTGTGTTGGAAGGGCCTTAAATCCCATCCAGGGAAGGGGCAGGGACACCTCCCACTGCCCCAGGTGCTCCAGCCCCAGTGTCCAGCCTGGCCTTGGGCACTGCCAGGGATCCAGGGGCAGCCCCAGCTGCTCTGGGAATCCCATCCCAGGCAGGAATTCCCAATTCCCAATGTCCCACCCATCCCTGCCCTCTGGCACTGGGAGCCATTCCCTGGCTCCTGTCCCTCCATCCTTGTCCCCAGTCCCTCTGCAGCTCTCCTGGAGCCCCTTCAGGCCCTGCCAGGGGCTCTGAGCTCTCCCTGGAGCCTTTTCTTCCCCAGCAATCCCACAAACCCTCAGGTCAGCATTTGGAATGTTCCCATCCTCACTGCTGTTATTCTTACTCAGAGCTTTTCCCTTGCAACAGGAGATTTTGGGCTGCACTGCACCAGCAGGTTTTCCTGGTGTGTCCCAAAATCTCCTCCAGGGACAGGGCCTGGCTCCCAGGATTTCACCAATCCCCCAAATCCCCCAAATCCCCCAAATCCCACAAATCCCACCTTCCTGTGCAGACCAAGCCACCCTCCTGGACCAAGTGAAGCGAGTGAAGGAGATCGAAGCCATCGAGAGCGACGCCTTCGTCCCACAGACCTTCAGGTCCAGCAAAGAAGTCAAAAAGGTACATTTTCCTTCCAAAAGGGGCATTTTCCTTCCAAAAGGGGCATTTTCCTTCCAAAAGGGACATTTGAGTCCCTTACTTGCTGCATTATCCTCTCAGAGCCAGGAGGAAGCTGCACTATTAAGATTTTCCATCGATGAGAGAGCATCAACGTTGAGAGCCTTAAATGCACCTGAAATCCCACCAAGGACTCCCTGATGGTCTCAGGGTGGGCTCAGGGAATTTAAATATGGCAGAATTTAAGGAAATCACCTGGTTTGAATACTTTTGTTACGAGAAGCAGAATAATTCAAATCCCAAAGTAATCACATTTACTTTGTAATTAAAATGGAGATGATTTAATGCTGCTAAACTAAAGCCAGACTTTAAGTCTGTGTTTATTCCCGAAAAGAAGCAGCTTGGTTTACAATCAGCTTTCCAGAAACCCAGCAGGAGACATCCAGATCCCAGGATTTCCCTGAATTTTGGCCAGCAGGTGTTGCAGGGAGCTGGTGAGGGCTGTGTTCATTTTCCCACCTGGCAGAGAGTGTTTGGAATTAGCCCTGGTTGCTTCCCCAGGAATGTGCAATTTGTTTTTCTAGAAATCCCCAAGAATCTGGTGCAGCTTCTTCAGGAAGTGATCCAAAACCCCAGTGGTGCAGTTTTTCCAGCTCTCTCCCTACACCTTGTGTTTGTCACTTCATGTCCTTTGTCCTTGTCCAGTGTGTCCCACTGAGGATGCTGAGGATCCTTTCAGGGAAGACAGCCAAGTGCTGGCTTAAAATACTGCCATAGTTGGGAATATTGGAATAAAACACTCCAATTTTGTGTGTTTGCTCCTTTTCCAGTCAGCAGAACCTCCTGAGCTCCAGCAGGAGCCTGTGAATGTGGGAGCAGGAGCCACTGAGGCAGCTGCTGCTGAGAAGGAGCCTCCAGCTGCCAGCATCCCCACTGCCATCAAGTACCAGGACGACAATTCCTTAGCACACCCAAATGTGAGTGTTTATCCCATCTTTTTAGCCAGAATTTATCCCACCCTTGGCTTTAGAGCAGCCCCTGGGATGAGAGCAGGGTTGTGGGACCCCACAGCTCCCCACAAAATCTCTGCTCTGGGATAAAGAGATCCCACTCCTCCCAGCAGAGCAATCCCACAGGAGCTTCAGCAGCAGTTTTGGAGCTGTAAATGAATTTTGTCATAAAATATAATTAATGTAACATTGGGGAATTTAGGATAAATAAAAATTCAAGACAAATTGGTTTCTGTAGTTGGAAACCTGGTGGAAAACTCAGAACTTGCCCACTTTGCCAACTTGCAAAGTTTTAAACATGGGACAGACTTCAGATGATTTTAAATCATTGTGGCTGAACTTGAGCAAATCCCTCTGGAAGAGCTTTAGAGGGAAATAAAAGGGTTTTTAAGAATTAGCAAGTTAAAAATGATTTGCAGTGAAGCAATCAGTGTGGGTTCTGTAGAATGGCCACAGAACAGAGATCAGCACATGTCAGTGATGCATTACCCTGGAGCTTTGCCTCTCCTGTAATTAGGATCTTTAAGACCCCTCCCAAGCCCAACTGTTTGAGGATTCCCTGAACAGTCCCTGCTGTTATTGATGTTTTGGGCTCACCTTTGTCTCTGACCCCCCTGAGCTTTTCCTGTGGGCCTGAGGCAGTGCTGGGTGCTCCAGGAGATGGTCACAGACCCGGAGTTCCTGACTGTGCCCTTTCCTCCCCGTGGCAGCTGTTCATGGAGAAGGCAGAGGCTGAGGAGAAGTGGTTCCAGAGGCTGGTGGCTCTGCGCCAGGAGAGGCTGATGGGGAGCCCCGTGGCCTGACAGCCCCCAGGAGCATCCCAGGCCCTTCCCTCACTCTGGGAGCTCCACACTCAGCTCCTCTTCTTGTCTCCTAGAGGAGATCTCAGTGAGCTGGGCAGGCAGGGAGGGTTTCACCTGGAAAACCAGGAATCTTCTGTCCTGCTCCACCTGGAGAGTCAAGAATGCCCTGCCCTGCTCCACTTGGATACCTGGGAATGTTCTGTCCTGGTTCCCCTGCATAACCAGGAATGTCCTGCCCTGCTCCACCTGGATAACTGGGAATCTTCTGTCCTGGTTCCCCTGAATAACCAGGAATGTCCTGCCCTGCTCCACCTGGATAACTGGGAATCTTCTGTCCTGGTTCCCCTGCATAACCAGGAATGTCCTGCCCTGGTTCTCTCCAAACTCACTGCTGGAGATGGGCAGGGCAGCACAGCTGGGAGAATTTCCTTTTTTTGGAGGGAATTCCTCAGGTGAAGAACACCTGGCAGCCCATGAAATACCATTTTATCCCTCCCAGTGAAATACCATTTTATCCCTCCCAATGAAATACCATTTTATCCCTCCCAATGAAATACCATTTAATCCCTCCCAACCCAGAAAGTTTCATGGAGCCAGGCAGGAACTGGGAGCTGAGGGCTGGGCCAGTGAGGGATGTGTGGAGCCATCCCTGTCCTGCAGCTGGAGAGGATCCAGGCTCCATCCCTGTCATCCCCTCCTCCTGGGGGAATCCTGTCCCTGATGTGTTCATCCCTCTGCCCCCAGTTCCTCACTCTGGGGGAAATGCTCCACGTTTCCTTGAGCATCTGCCACTACTGCAGCTCCAGATGGGGAATTTTATCAACTGATCATTTCTGTAATTCCCAAATGATGGAATTATCACACACCTGCTTCTGGGCAGGGGCTGTTCCCAGCCCATGGAGCTCCCTTGGGCCAGCTGGGACTTTCCAATAATCAAAGTTTAGTCTGAACATCTGAATTTAGCCTGGACAAACTTCCACAAAAATCTGCCCATCATCCATCTAAGTGCAGGGAGTCAACCCAATCAAATCAATAAAACACAAAAGCGTTTCTTCAGCAAAGCTGGGAGGAAATGGCCACATCAGGAGAGGAGAAAACTGAGCCCCAGCTCTGGATGTGCTCCTGGAACTGCCCTGCACCAGCATTCCCTTGGGAAGCTGCTTTTGGCATTTTTCCTCTGGTTCTCAGATCTGTGGTGATAAAAAATGGAGGCTGACTCTGCAGATGGACTTTGGTTGTTTTATTTTTTATTTTAGATCCTGGATGTAAAATGAAAACGTATTGAATTTGCATTCTGACATTTTTACTTCCTTTATGAAGTGTTAGTTTGACTTTTATCCTGCATCAAAATACTCCAAGACCTTGTCTGCAGGAAAAAGTGGGAAAAAATTTGTTTCCCTTGTTTCATTTCAGCATTTTTAAATGGTAATATTTGTCATTGCTGCGTTTTCTCATCACCTTTTATGTTTCTTTCATAGAAAATAAAAACTGTTTGATGTCCATGGAAGGTCCAGGTGTAAATTCCTCTTTTCATGCATTATGTTGGATAATTTTGGTGCTTTTATTTGATGTAAAATGATTCCTTTTATTGGCAGCCCTGTAGAATATTAGAAAATGTTACAATAGGCTGTAAATAGATTTATAGTAGAGTTTGCTTATTTATTTATTGTTTATTAATCAACATCTAAATTTGCTGGAGGAGATTTGGGAGCAAGAGCTGGAAAGAAAATGGAAATAACATTTAGATAATTTAAATAAGTTAAAATCAATAAATTAAAATAATTTAAATAAAATAAATTAATAAATTTTAAAATGTTTAGATAACATTTAAATACATTACCTAAATGTTTAGATACCATTAAAAACATTACCTAAATTTAAATTTAGGTAATTTAAATAACATTTAGAAAATTTAGCTGAATTATTCCAGACACCACTGGAAACATGGAGCAAATCAGGATAAAGTTGTTTTCTATCATTCCAGAAGCAGCTCAGTGATCAGACTGTCCATGAATTCCTCAGGATTGTGCTCTTTCCATGGAATAACAACTTGGGTGTTGCCTCAGGGGGGTCATTGAAGGGGGATTTTTCTGGTTTCTTACCCTGCCAGTCCCTGCCTGGCTGGGAGTGCTCAGGATGGTGCCAGCAGTGCCAGCCCTGCAGGGTCCCTGCTCCATGGGGGCTCCCATGGCCCTGGCAGAGCCCTCAGCACCTCAGGGGTGGGTGGTGTTTGCTGGGGTCCCCTGAGCCTGCAGAGCTCCAGCCTCCATTCCCACCAGGAAAGGCCCCTGCTCCCCATCCCTCAGCAGCTCCACTCTGGGATCACTGCCTGCAAAGGAGCTGGGGGTGCTTTTCAACTGGTTTCAAATAATCTCTTTGTTGTTGGTACGTTACTTTAGGAGGATTTTGCTGCTCAGATGATGCTGTCCAAGAAAGCCCTCCTGGCCAGGAGATCAGGTGTTGCTCCTCCTGCTCCAGTCACTCCAGCAGGGCAGCACTGGGTGAGCCCAGGGCCTCTGCCCAGCTGTAACCCAAACCCAGCCCTCTGCATGATGACAGTTTTCCATTTGTCAGCTTACAAGGAGGGAGTTATTTTTAGTGGGGATCCTTGAACTCCAGAAACCTTTGTGAGGAGGGATCAGCTGGAACCTGGGGCTGAACCCAGGGCTGGGGGGACTCCTCAGCCTGAAAGTGATACAGACCCTAAACCCACAGTGAACCAGGGTTGAAAATACTCCCCCCTTGTAGTTTGGACTCAGGGCAGCACTGCCTGGTTGGTGTTTCCCAGCTTGGGCTGGGAATGGCTCAGTGGCCCCGAGTCCCTCTGGAATTGCCACACAGGGGATGCTGCTGGCTCCTCTTCCTGGGAGGAAGGACAGGGCAGGGAGGTGCCCCCAGCCCAGCTCCCACATTCCAGGGGCTCTGCTCCCATCCCACAACAAATCTGGAGCTGCTGGAGAGAGCCCAGAGGAATCCATGGAGCTGCTGCAGGGCTGGAGCCCCTCTGGAGCCAGGCTGGGGCACCTGGGGGTGCTCACCTGGACAGGAGAAGCTCCAGGGAGAGCTCAGAGCCCCTGGCAGGGCCTGAAGGGGCTCCAGGAGAGCTGCAGAGGGACTGGGGACAAGGATGGAGGGACAGGAGCCAGGGAATGGCTCCCAGTGCCAGAGGGCAGGGATGGGTGGGAGATTGGGAATTGGGAATTCCTGGCTGGGATGGGATTCCCAGAGCAGCTGGGGCTGCCCCTCATCCCTGGCAGTGCCCAAGGCCAGGCTGGATGAGGTTGGAGCACCTGGGGCAGTGGGAGGTGTCCCTGCCATGGCTGGGATGAGAATTAAATGATCTTTAAGTTCCTTCCCACCCAAAGCAATCCATGGTTCTCTGATTCTGTACCAGTGAATTTTAACAGTATTTTGTTAGAAATTCTTGTTGTCTTATTTCAGGCCTTGTACAAATTCCTGAACTGGGCAACTGGGAGCTGAAGAGATATTTAAATCAAATATTAATGTCCATGTTCTTATACATCTCCCTGCAGTCCTTTCTTTTATGTGTCATTTACCAACAATTTATCAGCAGCTGCCTTGGCAGAAGCTGATGTCACCTCTGGACTGAAATCAGCTTTGGAACAGCACAGTCCAAAGGCCTCTCCCACTAAAAATCCATTGAAACCTCTGGAAACTGCAGAGCAGCTCTGAGCCCACCTGGAAGGGAGCAGCTGCAGGGGTGAGGACATTTCTCATTTCTGCCAATGCGTGGGAAATGGAAACAGGAGCTGCAGGGGTGGAGCCCTGCTGGCCTGAGCCCTCTCAGGTTTCCTTCAACCTTGCTCCTGACATTGCTGGGCAGAGAATGGAGCAGGGCCCCAGGTGCTCCCATTTCTCCCAAAACAGTTGGGAAATCCCTATTTTTACTAATTCTGCTGTTTCTCACTAGCTGGGTAAGCAGAGCTAAATGTTTGGACGTTTGGGGCTGCAAGAAATGTAATTAAGAAGTAATTGTGTAATAAAAGCTGAGTTTTTCTCCAGTGAGCAGTGAAACCTCTCCTGGCTGCTGAGAGCTGACAATTTATCCCTGCCCTGCCTGTGCAATCAGCCAGAACCTGAGCTGGGAACTCGATGTTGTGATAACTTGTACCCTCAGCTTGTCCAGGACTAATTGGAACATGGGATTAATGGGATCTGCTGAAGCAGCAGGAGGCATTTTTAGCTGCAGCCACAACCAGCCTGAGGCAGGAGAGCCCTTTGGAACAAACACAGCATGGCCTGAACTGGGCACGGGCCTTAAACAGGGACTGAAGGTGCCTTCACCTGGTGCCAGTCCCAGGAAAACTTGGATTGGGATCCCTCTGGAAAAGGGCTCCTGGAAGCCCCAAATAAATCAAGCAGCTCCTGCTGCCCAGGTGAGATTTTTAATCTGTTCTGCATTTTTGTCTGATTTTCCAGCTTGAGGCTGTGGCCAAGCCTGGGCTCAGTTCTGATGACCTCCACCATTAACCTGAGCCAGATTTTCCTGTGACAAACCTCCCAAATGCCAGCCCAAATCCAGAGCTCTGCTCCTGCTGCCTCTCCAGCTTTGCAGAGGAATCAGGGCTCCCCACAGGTGCTGCTGTCCCTGATGTGCTGCTGAGGGAAGCCCCAAAATCCAGGTGGTTTTCCCTCTTCTCCCCCACTGCTGGGGCTGAGGCTGGAGCAGGAATTTGTCCCTCCCTTGCAGTGGCACAGAGGAGTTGCCAGGATTTAAGGAATAACCCTGGCATCCCACACAAGGTGTTCAAACACCTTTTGGTGACTTGGGAATGCAAAATGAAAGAGAATTCCCTGTGCTTCCAAAGGCTTTGTCCATCCCCAGTGACTGATGGATGGCAGCAGAGCCCGTCTGGACAAATCCTAGTGGGGATCAAATCCTGGAGCCAGGGATGGAGCTCCCACTGCAGCCAGCTCCTGGGGTTTGGGAAGAATGTTTCTGTGCCTCAGCTTTTACTCTGCTAAACAAAACCAAGAGGAGAAGATAGTCACAAAATCAGGGCTGATTGAAGAAATGTTGGCTCATAGGGTGGGAAATGAAGGTCAGGGATTCATTAAAGCCCAAACCTCAGCGACTCTCCCCACTGGATCATTGCTGTAGAGATGTTTGAAAAGCAACATCCCAAAACTTCTCACAGAACCAAAAAGCTTCTCCTGGCTCTCTGGGGATGAGCTGGGATGGCAGTGAAGTGCCAGGCCCTGGCTGCCTGTGTCACATCCAGCTCCTGGGGACGCTCTGGATGTTCCTTACCCAACACCCATCCCCTGAAGGGGACAGCAAGGAGCCATCCCAGCCACCCCAGCCTGGCAATCCCTGCAGGTATTTCATACTCAGATTGGTGACTTGCTTTGGTTTTGTACCAATTCTCAGCCTCCTCAAAGAAACGCACCCAAAATCCCATTTCCCACTTTGCTGAGACCTTCTGGGCATGGCAGGCTCAGAATGGCCCCGGCACACCCCGAGGGTCCCTCCTGCTCCCAGAGGGACCTGCTGCCCTCCAGCACTGTTCATTAGCCCATCCCTAATTGCCAGGCTCTCCTCTGTGTGGGTCAGGGAGCTGGGCTGCCCTGAGCTATAAAAGGGAGGCATCAGCAGCCTGCACGAGCTGCTGACAGCTCTATTTATAGCCCAACCCAGGCCCCAAAATGTGTTTCTTCCCCTTTTTTGGTGCTGCAAGTTCAGGGTTAGGAGTTCCTGCAGGCAGGAGTTCCTCCTGCAGCCTCTAAGTGACTCCTTTTATCAGCTGCACACACACAAGGGCAGTTTTTAGGGATATTTCCTAATTATACACAAAGAGAGGACATGGGGAGGTTTTCTGTCACAAGTTGTTGGGTGGGAAATGGAAAAAATTGGAATAATAGTAAAAGAAAGTGAATTTTTTTTTTTCTGTAGAAAGGAGGAATTGTCTTTCCCTGGTTTGCAACTTATATAAAATAGGGTTCAACTTATCCAGGTAAGGCTGAGAGCTTAGTCCTGAACAGGTATTTAATATTTCATCAGGACAAAACCACCCCTGGTCAACACTTGGCTCTGACTGCTCCATTTCCCTCGTTAGGGTAATTAATTACCCAGCTTTTAAACCTTGTCAGACCCAGCATCTTTGGAGGAGACTCACAGGATTCAGATTGGATTTCAACAGAAAAATCTGCTGATAATGAGCTGAGGACAAATAATTCTTTCTTCCCTCTTGTTTTCTTCTTCGTGTGTACAAACCAGGTATTTCCTTTGAAATTTGCTGTTTAATTTCCATCTGTATTTCTGTTTTAAAGAAGGGAACCTTGTCATTTAGTTCCAATGATGAATGAATTTCAGTCTGGCCCTCAGGGAGGGCTCTGGCTCCAGTTCTCCCAGCCCAGTTTGGCACTTTTCCCATTCAAACACAAGTGCAGGAATGCAATTTTCACCTCCAAGTGTTAAAGCTGCTTCAAAATAATCCTTTGGATGAGTAGAGGAATTAGAGGGGATGATTTCCCAGAAAGGCAGAAAT